CTTTGAAGAAGAAGGCGATGGGAGTTACGAAGCCCGGGAGCCTCCCCAGAGAACAAGGCTAAGTAATCTGCTGTTTACTCATAATCTGGGGGAGGTGTCCCTTGTTGAAGCCAAACATAGCGAGAAACAGTAGAAGGGTATGCGAAGATCGTGCGCGTGATGCTCCTTGAAATCGGCCAGCTCGGCGCTTGCCCTTGCCTGCTCCAGAGGGGTTAGGAGGTTGAGGTTGTGCGTCCCATAGAAGATCAGAGAGAGAATAATATTTGAATAGAAAGAATGAGAGAGTAACTGAACTGCGTGATCACGTTTAAGGAAGAAGAAGGACTGTGCACCGTTTTGGAGCGTGCAAAAAGCGGCTTCTTCAACAAATTCGACCAGATCAGAGGCGACAAGATTCCGATCTTCGACGTAACTATGTTGGAGGGATGAAATAGAGGAGGGGAAGATGAATGGGAGAAGAAATAGGTGGAGCGGGAGAAGAGAGGCCGTCGGGGAACTTAGGACGAAGATTTGTTGTATAGCTTCGTCTCTTCTTCCGCTGAGGTGGGTGGTAAAGATAGAGAAGAGCGGAGTGGGGTGATGAATGAAGAGAAAATTGTGACTAGTTGTTCAGTGGATGGCTTATCCTGGGATTGGATAGTAAGATTAGAGGGAAAGAAAGAGAGGAGGAACGGATCGCAAAGGGGTGAGGAGGTGGAGGCGAGAGAGTGAAAAGAGGAGGATGTGGACGGAGAGCCTGAAGCTGTGCGGTGGCACTGGGGGTTGGGAGGCTGGGGTAAGGGGGGTGGTGGATCACTGACTCTACATGCAGATAGGTTCATGATGGGGAGGGAGGGGAGGTGGGGACTGGCTTACCAGGATGGGTTGGACTAACGAGGGGAGACTGACCGGTAGACCTTGACCTTGACCTGGCCGGGGATGGTGATGACATCACGATCGTGACTGACGACGTTGACCAATGGTGAGAAGTCCTGATAGGTGGTGGCCACATGACGTTGCTCGACGACCGTGTCCGACTAAGGAAAACCGACTTGTGATGGCAGCACGACCTTGACTGACGATTCTGAGTGACGCAGGAAAGCCGATGGTCGATGGTAGCACGTCCTTGACTTACTACGTTGACTAACAAGGAAAAAAACGACGGACTGCGAACCGAGAGTCCTCTGACCAAATCAAGGTGAGGGAAAAAGGGCTCGACCTCTGAAAGATATGACCCTTGTGTGGCATGCGCACAGGTTCGTGCTCACAATGAATGCTGCGAGAAATCGGCGCCTGGAAAGCGCAGGTCAGGAGAGCACTCAAGCTATGGCTAGGCAGGCACCTGTGACTTATATTGTCACAGGACAAAGCAGTGGGACCGGACGTGCCAGCGAGGCCTTGGGTAAGTTGTCACATCGAACTTAGACGATCGTAGATGCTGAGCGGTTGCCTGGTTGCCGTGGATGAAAATACCCCCAAATGTTGTGAACCTTAGATTTTGTAGATCAATGCCTGTGGTTTGCAGTCCCAAGTGAGAATGCCCTGGTACTGAATCCCAACCGCCACTCCTGTTACTTCTGTTGATGGGGGCCGAGGATTGTTGCGTGAGGGAATCCGGTTTGTCTGTCTTGCGCGCAACCAGTTGCATGGTTGTTGGCATAATGCTAGCACTTTAGACATCACTTTGTAAATAGTCGACGTAAGAGTAATGGGCCTATAATTTCTTATGGACTCTTTGTCTCCTTTTTTGTGAATCAGAGAAATAATGTCGGACACAACCGAAGGCTGTTGTGAAATCTCCACCAAGGCGACCAGTCCTTTGCATATGATTTTCTTTGTTACCAGGAGAGAGTATGATCATGGCACTCCGACCAGGTTCATACTGCGACTGCGGTAGCTATTCCGTGGTCCCTCCCTCACATCACATAAGGAATAGGAAGTCCTGCAAAACCGGCCTTCCACCGGCACGACAGGGGTCCATTTCCACAGGCCCCCAACTGCAGAAACAGGACCCGCAAAACCCACCCCTCTCTCTTCTAGGGATTCAGGGCAGATTACACCTCTATCTACCACAAGATCCACTCCGCTTTTGCAGATGTAGAGAGTAGTGGAGTGAGGCCCATTCACCCGCCTTTTAATTTTATTTTATTTATTTTGCCTCGGTCACATGTGGCAAGTGCTTGGGCCTGGCGGTGTATCTTTCCATGTTCATCCCTTTTTTTCCCTTTTTTTCCGCATTTTTTATTTCTGTTTTTTTGGGCAAAATTTGTGAAATATCCCTATAAGTTGAGAAATACGCCAAAATGCCCCTAAAAGATGTGGGTAGAGCGGACTGCCCTTTTGGGCCTAATTCTTTCCATTTTACCCGTGTCAGGCCCATGTGCAGATTTGCAATCTGGACCGCGTCATTTGGGCCTGGGACTGCACCCTGTTTTACCTGGTTTGCCCTCCATACCCGGTGGGAAACTTTGCGCAATACCCAGCCCGTCGGCAGGGCAGTTTGCCTCCGTGTTAGGCAGCTTCATTCATCCCCCTCCCTGGTGAGGTTCCCCATCTCCAGCTCCTCCTATGCCTCGTCACCATTTCTGAAATCCTCCTGCTCGCCACTCTGAGAACTCTCTCTCTCTCTCTCTCTCTCTCTCTCTCTCTCTCTCTCTC